CACAGTTATACCATTGTGTAGCTTTGTCCTTAATAATAAACAACAACATTATAATTTTTTTAATTTAAAAATTTTAAACACCTGAAGAGTAACTTTAAACTTGTAACTTTATTACAATTTTTTGCTTCATTTTTAAAATTTTAGAAAACCCCTGAGAAATAACTTGAAACTTGTAATTTAAAAATTATTATTTACGTTTCATTTTTGATTTCTCACCTCTACCGTTCACAATGAAGTTTTCGTCATTAGTATGGATGACGTCAACAAACTCAGCGTCTGAAGGATCAAGGTGAACTTTTGGATCGGTTTTTTGAAAGTACGGTTCAGCAGGATCGAGTCCTAGTAAAAAATGAGATATATTTTGAAAGATGCATGATCTTCAATAACTATATTAATAAAAAAATCCTTTAAAATTATTCGCCTTCCTTTTGTGTGATAAAAGCCAATAAACATTTCATTAAAAACAATTCAATGACTTTACTAAATATTGGCAATAATATTAGATTTCTATTTTTCTCAAGAAAAAAAAAAGAAATGAAAAACTATAGTTTTCATAATCTTCAACAGAGCGTGAACTCTGTTATAGGACTTTGACTCACCCGTTATTCTACCCAAACCTGGAACTCTTTCTCCTGTATAACCAGCAATATGTGCTCCTACGCCGTGGCCTATAATGTGCATATTTGTAGGAGCCACCTAAAGTTTAAAACAAATAAAACATTAAATAATTATCTTGAAGATGTCTTATTTAGTCTAGGTGAATATCTCTTCGCTTTGCAGTGAAGTTACTCGTTTTCGATGTTCAGAGGAATATCGTGTTCAGCTTATCTCACTACTTTAAACTGCTGACTCTAATAAAAGGAATATAACAGTTATTCCCAATTCAAGGCTCACTTATTTGTTTTCGCTTTATTTTACATTGACTTTCTGATCTTGATGTACTTTCAGATACCAAAATACATCTAAATGAGAAACTATTAATAACCGAGTTTGCAGATCATCTTGATATACACAAACTTTGAATATTCCAATAGCTATAATTTACCCAAAAAGTAATTTGATAAGTAATTTATACGTACGTTAATTTAAGCGTAAGTCATAAGTATCCTAATTTATATATAACTGTAATGTACACTGACAATAAACGACAATATGTTATTCTAAGGAAAGACTTTCATATTTTGCAAATATATTATTTTTGTCTGACACAGGTATCTGTGGAACACAGACTTACTTCCAAGTTTTTCAAGAACTCCGCTATAATAGCACCAACCATGCGAGCATTAGCCACTGTCTGAGTGTAGGAGGAAGTGGCACCTCGTGACCAGTCCACGGAGATGATATTGTAATCGTCCTGAGTGAGCAATTCTTGTATCATTTGCTGGAAGTTTTAAAAATGTATTTCAAAATCTCGCACGAAAAATATTTTTTTGTATATTCTGATTTTTTCTTTATTATAATATTCATTATATATATGGAGTCTACTGAGAAAATTAAGATTTATTTTCAAAGAGGTCAAAAACAAGACCTATTACCCTAGAAAAAAAAATATTTTGTTTAGGCATACGTTCCAAATTAATGTTGTTCAAGTCTGAATAAGCCTTATTAAAATGTCTTTCATTCACGGAAGTTAAATCCCAAAGTTCGTTTCTCGTCTTTATCAGCATGAAACAGTTAATAGAGAGATTCAAATAAACTCACAGGTTATAACGTTTACAATGTTTAGGGTTATTTCTGTCTTACTTCTGGTTCAGAACTGGGATTTTATCATTATCTCAATTAAAGAAGCTTTACGAACCAACAACCACGGGTGATTAACATCTTCCAGATAGTCATGCACCAGCACCTTTAGTGGCTTATCAGGATCCAAATCTGACTTGGAAGTGTCATCCATGTTTATTCTCTGGAAGCGGTTAGGATTCTCCCTAGACGTTAAAAGAAAACGGACATTGATGGCATCAGGAGGATAAGGAAACATATTGATTGGACGATAAACAGAAAGGAAGGGCTCTCCGATTGAGAAACATCCATACTTTTCATAACAGCGTTTCAAAACATCATCTGAAAAAGAAAAATATATAAAAGGACAATGAATATGAACCTCTAAGCTTTCTATAACAGAGCTTCAAGAGCTTTAGTAGGTCACGTGTAAATACACATATTCTGAGGAAAAAGAGGAGGATACATTGTTTCAGGTTCATACGAAGTTACAACTTTTATATTAAGTTTGTACTAGTTCAAGTATTAAAAGAACTGTAACACAAATCTGATTGCGTTCAATCGACAACCTAACAATTCAAGAGATGTTACATAATATTGAACCTAATGTAAGTACTACTAGAGGCAGTTTTAAATGTAACAATGTAAAATGCCAAATTAATTAATTAATTAGTTATTTTACTAATGACAGCCTGACTTCTGATCAGGATGAATTACTTTTATTTAAGATTTTAAAACATTTCGGCTGTAAATCTGTATATCGATTTTTTTATCATTAGAGACATGCAAGACAAAACTGAGAACTTAAGAACGAATCAACATAAGTGACACAGTAGAAATCCAATTAGCCCTAGCACCCAAATCAGTTTCACCAGACACATTAGAAGCCAAAGTTGCACTTTAGTACCAGCACCAGAATCAGTTCCACCAGACACATTAGAAGCCAAAGTTGCACTTTAGTACCAGCACCAGAATCAGTTTCACCAGACATATTAGAAGCCAAAGTTGCACTTTAGTACCAGCACCAGAATCAGTTCCACCAGACATATTAGAAGCCAAAGTTGCACTTTAGTACCAGCACCAGAATCAGTTCCACCAGACACATTAGAAGCCAAAGTTACACTTTAGTACCAGCACCAGAATCAGTTCCACCAGACACATTAGAAGCCAAAGTTACACTTTAGTACCAGCACCAGAATCAGTTCCACCAGAAGCCTGAACATCATAATAATCTCATCATACACAATTTGATTTCATTAGAAACAAAAACACTATTAATGACAATGCTTTCAAACAACTGAATTCTTGCAGATCACGTCCCGATATAATGTACAGCTTCCCTGAAGTCCATAAACAGAACCATCCATTACGTCCTACCCTTTTAGCAACAAGAATGCACCGTTACAGATTACCCAAGTTCATTTATCTATTTTTAAACAGTTAACATTTAATGAATCACTGTCCTGTTCTCATTATCATTTATTAATGCATTCTTCTCGTGAATGTTTTACGGTTATCTTTGATGTAATTTCTTTATTCACAAACAATGAGTTCTATGTTTGCCTAATTTTTGTTGTTTTATGTCTGAGGATGACCTAAGTAAAAGGGTCGGAACGTTGCATGGCCATATTTTTACGTATGTGTACGTATTTATATGAAATAAACATCTCAAAAGTTGTATTGTCTGTAAGTATACGTGTGGTGACTGCAAGGCCACCTATAGTAGAAAATGTAAACGACATTTTTATTTTAAATAAACTCTTTTCGATAAAAATGATAGTCTAATTAATAACTTTATAAATAAAATACTTATTTAAAAAAAAAATATTTTATATTTTGCCTAATTTTCGTTGTTTTATGTCTGAGGATGACCAAAGTAAAAGGGTCGGAACGTTGCATGGCCACATTTTTACGTAATAAACATCTCAAAAGTTGGAAACAGTAAGATATTTTCTTGTAACTACCAAACTAATCGTTTTCTACAAATAAGTGGAAGAATATGACAATTATCTAAAAACAACCTGATTAATGAAAATTAAGTGAACTATTTTTTTCTTGTAAGTTTTTGTTTCCAAAGCCTCAAATTTTTCTGATTATAAATCACAACAAAAGATAAGTTTAAATCGTATATAATGAACCTATATAAGATTGATATTTAGAAACATTAACAATACATTTAATTTTTCATTGTTTAGCAGTAAGCATTGACATTAAATTTCTGTCATTGTTTCATATATGTAACAATTTACTATTGGAATTAGAGGACTGATATATGTAACAATTTACCGAGAACTGATTCAGGAAATTGTTACTTCGTCATCTTTCATTCTAGTGAATTGTCACTTAAGAGTTTTGTAAGTTTATTTTACAAGTAAACTTAAAACATACCTACCTTAGGCAAGCACTGACTTATACACTCATGAAAAAATATAGCTTTAACTCGAGCAATTATTGTAAAGCACTTTTACGAGCTCTTAATAAAAATTCCAATTAAAATATTCTAATCCTGTCTCTAACAGTACAACCTATTATCTTTAGCGTAAGTTAGTGAATTATTCCATTCAAAAATGTGTAAAAACACTGCAAGTTGAAACAAAAATGACCGAACTCTTTTTGTTAATACTGTTCTAAACTTACAGGATATGTTTTTAATTTATTAACTGATTATTATTTATTTATGCATCAAACTTACCGTTTTAAATAGAAGTGTTTTTATATAATATAACCATGCAAAATATCCTACTTTATATTCAGTTGACAACGTGAATAAAAATATCCTACTGTATATTCAGTTGACAACGTGAATAAAAATATCCTACTTTATATTCAGTTGACAACGTGAATAAAAATATCCTACTGTATATTCAGTTGACAACGTGAATAAAAATATCCTACTGTATATTCAGTTGACAACGTGAATAAAAACATCCTACTGTATATTCAGTTGACAACGTGAATAAAAATATCCTACTGTATATTCAGTTGACAACGTGAATAAAAATATCCTACTGTATATTCAGTTGACAACGTGAATAAAAATAATACTACTTTATATATATATATATATATATATATTTGATAACTTGTTTAGTTTAAATACAAAGCTGCACAATGGAATATATGTGCTGCCCCACCACAAGGATCGAACTCCGAATTTTAGTGTTAAAGTCCTCAACCTTACTGTTGAGCTACCGGCATAAAATCCAAATAATAACCCTTTTATTTGTTTTTTCCATACATAACGTTTTTGGAATCTGACTAAGTTTATACGCATGATGATATTATTTCAAATCTAGAATCGATTTGTATCTGTGAACCTGAAAGCTCATGAAATTCTTCAGACATTATAATAGTTGGTAAACGAAAAAAGAACTAGGCATATATATATTGAAAAGTTTGTTTGTTTGTAATTAAGCACAAAGCAACACAATTGGCTATCTGTGCTCTGCCCACCACGAGTATCGAAACCCGGTTTCTAGCGTTGTAAGTCCGAAAACATACCGCTGTACCATTGGGGGGCGCCATTGGAGGGGAGGGGACTATAATGAAAAGGAAATATTCCAGTAACTGTAAGATTCAAGTAGAAAGTTAAAAAAACAAAACATTTCCGCGATATTCGCCGAATTGATTTGTTAGTCGAACTTAGCTGTCCAGTTTTAAATATCCTTAAACGTGTGATGTCGTGCTGTTAGGTCTAGACGTAGACCAATAAACGCAAGTTTTATGTTCAGCTCATAACTAACTTAAAACTCCATATTTACCAGCTTTAATACGAAGTTCTTTTATATCATCATATAGATTCAACATTATACACAAAATCATAAGAAGTGTTTGATGAGATCTAAATATTATTAAAAAACAACAACAACGATTAAAGTAGCTAGTCGGTTAAAACAAGATCCAAGCGTTAATCGTTGGAAAATAAATTTCATTTGTTAAGTTTCCAAATAATCTAAAATATACATTGGACTTTCATTTTACTTCCACATCCTCTTCATTTTCAATATTTACAAATACCAAAATTCAAGGAGTTAAAATACTTTAAGTTTCACTTGTTGATTTATTAGCATAGACATATAGGATAAATTAGATTCTTGCTGCTTTATTATATTTGATTCAATAATCTCCTGAATTTAAAATCATAAAAAATATTCAACGTTAAACTGGTACACAATTAATTTTTTTTTATTTAGGCCTATCTGCGGCCTTCAAAAAGTTGACGTTACACTCCTGAGGATGACGTTGTAACATGTAGAGTCGTCAACTTTTTGAAGGCCACAGATAGGCCTAAATAAAATGTTTTTAATTGTGTACCAGTTTAACATTGAATATTATTTATGATTTTAACTTTATACACAAGTGCCAAAATACTACAATTATCTCCTGAATTCTTGGAATGTTAAGCTGTAGAACAAAACCACACTAGAAAATTTAGAACATTTGATTATTTGTTTGTTTGTTTTTCGAATTTCGCGCAAAGCTACACGAGGGCTATCTACGCTAGCTGTCCCTAACTTAACAGTGTAAGACTAGAGGGAAGGCAGCTAGTCATTACCACCCACCGCAAACTCTTGTACTACTTTTTTACCAACTAATACCAACTATATCGCCCACATGGCTGAAATGGCGAGCGTGTTTGGTGGGACGGGAATTCGAACCCGCAACCCTCACATTGGGAGTCAAGCGCCCTAACCACGTGGCCATGCCGGGCCTACTTTAGAGAAGGCATGAATTAGGTAATGTAGTTGTGACAGAGGGTTATTGGTAATTTCTGAGAAAATCGGTAAAAACACTTAAAATATTCTGTAAATTTGTTGGTGTATCTAAATGACAACTGTCCGGTTGTTGAATTGAATAATAGATGACAATTCTCGATGGTTGTGCTGAGATGCACCGATTCATCATGTGGAAGCTGATTACCTCACAGGAAATAGAAAATAATTGGTTTACTGATATCACCATTGGCCTTCTAGTGTATACTATCCAACTTATTCCCATCTTCTGCTTTTCATAGTTACACCATACGTTACTTTGTTTTAAGCAATCCCATTCCTTCTGAATGTTGACGAAGAGCTTCCACGGTTGCTGTTTCTGGATCAATAGTGCAGATATACAGTCAGTAGAGTTGTATCGAACTTGATTTTCTTGCAAGCTAGTCAGATGGCCTAGCACATATCCAGGTGATTGTCTTACCATGTATTTGCTTTACTTTCTGCCATCCATCGAGGGACCAACCACTCTCAGTTTTACGCAGTACAGTCTGAGAGTCACTTTCAAATATCCTGTTGGTGACACAGCCTATTTACGGCTCATTGCTCTCAGAAATCCAGAAGAGAGCTTCA